AACTCTGTCAACAGTTCCTTAAAAAAAAAAAAATTCTCATTATAACTGACCCATTAAAGAATATCAGTCATTTTCTCCAAAACATGCCTATATTTAGAGCTGCAAAGGAGGTTAGAATAATTTAGAACAAAAGCCTCAAGTTACTGATGAAGAAATAGGTCCACAGGATTTAAGTGACTTTCCCAAGGTCACTCAGCTAGTAAAGGGCACAAGCTGTGTTAGAGCTCAAGACCTCTCTGGCTCCCAGGAACTGTTTTTTCCATTACATCATTCAAGAAAGTACAAAGATATTTTCCAGGAACTTTGATAAACCAAAACAAAACAAAAAAAAAGTGAGAGAGAAAGGAAGGAAGGAAGGGAGGGAGGGAGGGAGGGAAGGGGCATGCCCTTTTGGATCAGAGAATCTCTTCCTGTAAGGTAATACTGAAGATAGTATTTATTTAGGGGGCACTCAGATAAATGACTATAATAAATGGAGTTAATTCTGCATTCATTTTCTAAAATAAAAAGCTACCCAAACAATGCCAGAAATTAAAAAGATTATTACGTGCTTTAAGTTTTCCGAAACAACAGGTCAGCAGCAGTACTGGGGCATAGCATTTATACCCTCTGTAGTACATTTTCACTTAGGATGTTTCAATCTGCACTACAGGGAAAGCGCTCCCTTGGAGGCTTATGCTTCAGTGATAAGATGAGGGATCCCCCTAAGTAAGAGGGAAGCTGACTGGTGAGAAAGGCTTATTTGGAAGGGAGAAGGTGAAAATACCTCCATGCCATTTCTGTCTTGTTTTCCTTTATTTTAGAAAGGACAAATGTAAACACATCTTCCAACCCATATAGTAATGCTTCACACACAATTTTGCTTATGAGAAGGTGCACAACACAAGCCTAGCAGCTTTCAAAATCTGTTTGCCTAGCCTGACCTGAGGGGTGGTCACTTAGGTTGTCAATAGTTAAAAAAAAAAAAAAAATCAATCAACCAATCAATCAGCGTTTGAAAACACAGTAGCATTTCCTCCAAACCTCAGTAAGGAACATAAGGCGCTCCCTACCCAAGCCCTTGTAGTCGATCTCTAAATTCTCACGATCTGCGAGCTGTAGCCCACGTTTTCCTTTCACTCTGAGCCCCCACACAGCGTAGGAGGATCAGTTTTCCTGGATCTCATGGAGCTAAGGTGCTTTGCAAACCACAGGTGCTCAATAAAACGTATAGATCCTAAGGCACTTTCAAGCCAAATGAGCCCGAAACAATGCCAGACACAGCACTGTATTTTCTCCTCCCTCCCATTAGTAAGAGATGTAAATATAGGAACCCCGAGCCCACCCCACCAATCCAGCAACCACGTGCGGTCGCTTCCCTCCTGCTGGCGGGTTTGGAGACAGGAAGGAGGAACATGGCCTCGTAGTAAACCGTAGTAAAGAGAGGACGGAAACAAAATGGGGCACGTCACATGGTCACAGCCTGGATTTTTCTCAATTAAAAATAAGAGGAAGTATGCGTTTCCGGCCAGCCGACCGGACTTTTTCATTCTTACGAATTCTGGTCCAAATATATGATTATGGCCGAGCGCATAACATCCCGTAGATGGGGGGGCAGTGCGGAGGGGGTATCTGGCTTAGTTCAGCGCGACCTAGAGGGAGACAGGAGGGAGTAAAGCAGCCCCGGGAAGCCAAGCTCGCCACCGCCTGGGGACCCAGGCCCGAGGACCCCGCCCCGCGCCCGCCGCAACTGGGCGGTTACTCGCGCTGATTGGCTCTGGCAGGGACCAATCAGCGCCCGCCCGTCCCGCCAGCCCCGCCCGCCCAGGGCCAGTAGCCGCAACCAGGTGCCGAAAGGGCGGGGGCTCGCTCGCCGTCGCGGGCCACGCGGCCTGTGAAGGGGCCTGACTACTCCCCGCTACCCGAGGCCGGCGGGGGCGGGAGACAAGAGGGGCTGCCTCAGCGATAGGGACTAGCAGGAAGGAGGGGGAGCCAACTGCCAAATAAAGCGGGAGGAATGCAGAAAGCCAAGGTGACCCGGAAAAGGGAAAGTGCCAGTGCAGAGAGGGTGTGCCCTAACCCAAAAGGCCACACAGCATGGGGAAGGAGGAGGGAATAGGGGAGATGGTCGTAGTGGGACAGAATCCCAGAAATCGCAAAAAATACAATGAAAGAAAGAAATGGCCGGATCTTTTTTTCTTTCTTTCTTTTTAAGAGTTGGGCATAACAAAGAATGACAAAAAGCAAAAACAGGACCTAAAAGGGATGACTCGGGTCTTTCCCGAAAGCCTGCCCTATCTACCCAGCTGTAATTTCAGAACTAAAAGACAAATTGATGCCGGTTAAAGGTGGCGGGGCTGCCCTGACCAGTCTAAGAGGCCCTTTTTTGCCTGCCTTCTTGGGCTCTCAATTCTACTTTGTAGAGAGCAGGCCACACATACCGCAGATTTCAGAAGAGAAACCCAAAAAGGCCAATGTCAGGAACATGAAATAAGAGGTGGGAAACAAAGCGAATGGGAGGGGGTAGTGTTGGAAAACTAGCGGGTCACGACTAAGTTAGAGGAGACACAGGTTGAGAGGAGAAAGGAGAAACATAAAAGGCTCCTGGAGTGGATGTTAAACAGAGGGGATCAGCAAGTCTTGGGCTCCTGAGCACAGCGCTTCACACGTGTTCTCCTTCACTAAACAATGAAAAATATGAACATAAGGAACCAGACCCGGAGAGGTTAGGAGAAAGAGCACACCCTTCTTGGGACCTCTATTCATTTCACCATGTTTCAAGCTTCACCTGAGAAATGAGAAATAGAAGCAAAGAGGACCATTGCTGAGGAAGTGAGGGTGACGATTATTTCACAAACTAACATTCATTTAGAGGAGAAGCTGTTTGTCACTCACAGGTCTGACTTCCCGGATGATAACTGACTATCAAATAACATCTTTAAACTCAACAGGGCAAAAGCAAGCAAGCAGAATTGAGGATGTAAATGTGCTGGTAGCATTTGGTGCCCAATTAAAACACAGGCACACAAACATTTACACCTTAAACGCTGTAGAAATTTCCTGCCATTCTACAGTCCAGAATTATGTATATTAAGGGTATGATTATATGATTATTCCAGAATGTTATATTTTCCCAAGGAAAACTAGGAATAGAAGAAGGCTGGGGTTTTGTTTGTTTTTTAATCTTCCACATAAGGAGAATTTTATCTTACAGCCCTTTTTAAAACTGAAAATTCTATTTGCACATCAATTTTCCACAGAGCAAACATCATTTATTCCACTTTATGATTAAGAAAGCAGGTGAGAAAAACTTACTGATTCTTAATCTTTTCTTTTATCTCTTTTAAAACCAAAATTCTAGTTCTCCTAGGTTTGTTTCTTTCCAATTCTCATTACTTTATCAATGAAGTACTTTATAGTACAAATAGTTAAAGTGTTACAGCCCAACTCCCCAAAGCATCAATTTGAAATAACCAAAATTTGTACTGTTGACACTGATATACACAATTTAAGTCTTTATTCTAGTTAATGATGAAAACATGTTGAGATAACTACTGATCAAATAAATGCTTGTCCTAACAACTACCTAAAATCCTAGTTTTTTTCAAATACCTTTACCTTGTTCCAAAATAGAGAATGATATGGGTCAAATATTAGAAACAGGATCAAGGAGACTCTGACCACATAATAAACACCTATCTATAAGAACTAAGTCACAAATTAATTTCTTATGAATGGACACATTAAAAAAATTAATATTTTTCAAAGTTCATTCTGTGAAGCACATATGAAATTCACAAGACAATCAGTTTGTCAGAATAAAGTGTTTCCAAATGCTGGAAACTTCTGCAATGCCAACTCATCACATTATTTGCTAACTATACTCTTCTCTTCTACCCACAATTATGAGCACCAGAAAACAAGCTCAACAGAACGAAGGGCAGGCTAATTTCCTATTACAATGCTTTTCATTTTCATTACAGAAGACCCAAAGCCAACTTTCAACATTTACTGAGCTATCTACTCTTGAACTTAAAGGTGAAAAACAAATATTCTAAAAGTGAAGGTTACACAATTTAGCCCTTACATTCAATGCAAAACAAAACAAGATCTCCATGTTCATTACTATGCCATCTTTTCAACATAAAAATCTTAAGTAATTTTACAGAAGATACAGTAGGCCCCAAATGATATGTATGATGACTCAGTGTAAGAGACAACTGTAAGCCAGACACCCTGGAATGAACTTCCATAACTCTTAACTAATAATGGGTCCCAGATGCATACAGAGCTTACTGCATATCCTGTATAACAGTGGCCATGCTGCGGGTCAGTGTATGAATAATATTTCACAAATTCTGGTACAGGAACAAAAAGAAAATGTCACCCATAATTATTTTCTTCAGAGATCACAGACATAGGTACTTCCCTCTAAATACGTAGGCCTAAAAAAGCTCCCTTTTCCTCCTGAATCTTTTTAGAGTAGCAGGAATAGAGATCAATTTTCTGTATACATTGCCTTGGAACTGGGAAATCACAGAACCAAAGTACACAGAGTAACTAGAAAAGATCTCGCTTAAGGGCTCCAAGAAACTACCTTAAAGGAAGAGTTTTGGCTCCTGTATTAACAATTTTTTTGTAAAATTGTCCCTTCTAGGGCCTGACCTAAATATATAGTCAAAGGAAAATTTCAATACAGAGATTGAGATTCTTACACATGGATATGAACTTTACAAACCTCAGAACTGGCATCACAGAATGTAAGTTTATAAAATCCTACCAGAGTGCTTCACTTGGGAATTCTCAAATGAAAAAGCCCTCCTGAGGCTGTTCCTACATGTTTATTTGACTCCTTGCCAGGTGTCACTGTGGGGTGAGCATCTTGCCTGCCCTGAGAATGTAAGTGCATTCTCCCTAAGGAAGCAGTGGGAAAGAGCAGGAAGGGGTGGAGGCGGAGAACAGAATTCATGCACAAGGTTAAAAGCAGTTTTGTCTCCTGACTTTGCCACCATGAAACGCACCTGCTGTGTGATGTCCAGTTGAGCTACTGGCGGGCCTCTGGCTGCTTCTGGAAACTGATGCTGGCATAGGCGCTTAAATCCTCACTGGAGCGGCGGGTGGAGCTGCTCTCACCGCTGCCCAGGGGCTGATGAGGGGATGGGGGTGGGGGAGGCTGCGCTTGAGGGGGGCGCTCCTGAGGGCGCTGCTTGAAGTCCTTGACCAAATCCAGGTCTATATAGTTAAGACCATTCTCCAAACCCCCAGCAGCCCCACACACTTGGGTTGGTTCTTTGGGGGCTCCCCCAAGCTCCCCAGGCTTCAGCCACACATTCTCAAAGGAAGCAGAACTGTGGCGTTTCACATCCTCACTGCTGCTGCCACCACTACTCCCTACTACAGCCCCTCCTCCAAAGGGCACGGTGTTGGCCGCCCGGGTGGCACTAGGTTTAGAGGAGAAGGTCTCCGAGCTATGCCTCCTCCGGCACCCTTGTGGGTCTGCACGGATCACTTTGGCACTCTGGTTGCAGCTGGGACTGAGGTTTACCCGGGTGAAGGCGCTCATACCCCCGGGTCCCTGGGGGCCCCCTAGCAGGGATGAGCGAGCAGCCAGTTCAGCTGTCCCTTGAGGTGCAGCAGGGGAAGCAGAGGCAGCTGAGGACGAGGGAGCAGCTGTGGTAGCCCGGGGTGGGCTCACCTCTGCAGCAATGCCTGTCCGCATGTCAGCATAGCTGACAGGGGCAACTGGGGAGGTGTCCACGTAGTTCTGACGAGGACAACCCATCTGCATGGTCATGTAGTCACCTCGACTGCTGGGTACTGCTCGGGTGGGCCTGCAAACACTAGCAGCCCCAGGAGGCGCTGGGCCCACTCTGCCCATCTCAACACCAGTGCTCTCCTGCCACGCTGCCCTTCGGCCTGGCCCCAGGTCCATTTTCATGTACTCCTCAGTGCCAGTCTCTTCCTCCCTGGGAATTGGTTGGAGCTGGGATGGACACCTGACTGAAGGTGAGCTGTGGGAAGCCACCGGGCCAGACAAATAGCCAGGCTGATCACTCCCAAATTCAATATTCACATATTCTCCTGGGCTCTTGGGCTCAGGGTGTAACAGGGGCTGCTGCTGCTCTCGGGCCCGAGGTAAGGTGCTGGCCTTGGGATCCCCCAGGGACAGCCTCGTGGGCCGAGCCAGGCGACTGTTGGTCTGTGCAGCTGTGTCCACTTTTCGAGGCAGATGGGGCTGCAAGACTTGATGGTGGGCATGTGGGAGTCCTGGCTCCTGCCTAGCCCCACAGTATCCCCCACCCAGGCTGTCGCTGCTGGTGGAAGAAGAAGAATCTTCTGCTGCTGCAGCGTAGAGAAGGCGGCCAGAGCTGGAGGAAAGGCGGAGGTGCTGGTGCCGGGCACCCTCCTCTAACTCCCCAGGGCGCTGGGTGTGCTTAAATGACCTTGGCAATGAGTAGTAGGAGAGGACTGGCTTGTGCTGGGGGTACTCAGGGCCATAGTAGCAGCTGGAGGGGCTGCTGGTGTTGGAGTCCCCCACTGGCGACATGTTCATGTAGTCCCCTGTGCAAGGCAAAAGCTTGCCACTGCTGCTTTCCCCAGGGGGTTTGGGGTGGGGCAGGGCTTGAGAGTGGTGGCCTCCAACACCATTTGTCCAAAGCTTCCCATAGCTGCTCCCAGAGGGGGCAGCACTGCTGCTGCTGCTGCTGCTGGGCCCACCTCCAAGGTCAGGGGAGCAGCTGCCACTGGGTGACATCATCATGTAGCCATTGGGGTCCACTCTCTGGGGATGGCGTCTGATGGGGTTGATGATCTGCTGGGGGGCAGACACGCTCTTGGGGCTCATGGGCATATAGTCCCCACTGCCCTTTCTGCTGCCAGGCACTGGGGCCACCCCTGGAGACATGGGCATATAGCCATCGTCAGTGTGGAGGCTGGAGGTGTCGGGGCGGTGATGGCCCCCTTGACGCTCCAAGGGGTGCATTTCCAGACCCTCCTCAGGGTAAGAGTGGGTGGGCACAAAGGCGGAGTGCCGGTGGCCCGGCAGGCGGCCTCCACTGCCACCTCCTGGTGGGTAGGCGGGCATCATCTCCGTATACTCCTCAATGGAAGCCACCGATGACTGGGACGGGGTCTTCTGGTGGGAAATGGTGGGGGATGTGCCTGCCGAGTGAGTTCTCTTTCGGAACCGATTATCCAGATCTGCAGCGCAGGCTGCTTCATCCCCAGCCAAGGCTGGACTGGTGCCCAAGCCAGCTCCCGGAATGCAGCGGTGGCCATTGCCACCCCGGGACAAAATGTAGTGGCCATTGGGGGCAGTCAGGGTGGAGGTCCCCTTGCCACCCATGCAGATATAGTTGCTCAGCTCCTCCTCACCACGGGCTGGTGGGGTGTGGCCTAGGGAATCTGGAGTGACACTGCGGAAGGAACTTCGGAAATCGCAGGGACTAGACCCATACTCATCCGAGGAGATGAAACCGCCATCACTGGGGGAACCAGACACAGAAGCGCTAGACCGCCGCGGGAAGAGACAGTCCGAGGTGGAGCCATGGCCACTGGTGCTGCTGGACGACAGACTGACCGGGCTGGTGGCTGAAGGCGAGCATCGAGAGGAAGGCATGGGGATGGAGCGACTGTGGTTGAGTGGGGGGTGCAGCCGGGCGCTGCCCCGATGCCGGTGGGCATGTGTCCTGTTGGTGCTCGGGCTCACAGGGCTACCATCCACAGAGGCCGGGCGGGACATCGTGCCTTCTCCGTCGCTAGAGGCGCGGACACGAAAGGAACCTGGCTTCCCACCCACTATGCTGGCAGGGGAAGTGGCGGTGATGCTCTCTGTGCGTGACCGGCGGGTCAGCCCCACCTGGCTGGGTGGGGGGTTGTTGAGATGGTGCCTGCGCAGGGGGACGCTGATGGGGTTGGAGCAGTTGGATGAGGACTGGCTCTTGCTGCGAGGGCGGAACTCATCACTCATAGCCCGCATGGCCTCCAGGATGGTCTCATGCATATTCTGGGCCACCACCGAGTCATCCACCTGCATCCAGAATTCCCCAGGCCCTGTCACAGCGGAACGGCCCACCTCGATGAAGAAGAAGTTCTCCGAGTGGCCGCAGCGCCTGATGTTCATCAGCTGCAGCACCACGGCAGCGGCCTCCGAGTTCAGCTTCACGAAGCTGATGGTCTTGCTGGTCAGGCAGAGGCGGTAGATGCCAATTAGGTTCTTTGTCTGACCCAGGCCCTTGGGCTTCAGGATCACCTGCCAGACCTCTTTGAAGGCAGGTCCTGGGGGCACATCCCCATAGCTCAAGTCCTCCCCAGCCTCGCCCAGGGCTGAGCTGCTGCTGCAGCTGCCCCCACCGCCTCCCACTCCTGGAGCTGCAGCCGCATCGTGGTGGCCCTTGGCACGGTTGTGCAGCTGCAGGAGAGCCTGGTACCAGCTGTCTTGCTCGGCCTCACTGTCGGCTGCGATGGCGAAGTGTTCGTCCCGGGTGTAGAGAGCCACCAGGTGCTTGTTCTTGGAGTCAGCCCGCTTGTTGATGTTGAAGCAGCTCTCAAGGGGGATCGAGCGTTTGGGGGCGCTCGACTTGTGCCGCCACTTCTTCTCGTTCTCGTAGTACTCCAGGCGCGCCGGGCCCCCAGCCTCGCTGGCCGCTCGCAGCACGAAAAAGCGCTTGTGCATGCTCTTGGGTTTGCGCAGGTAGCCAACCTTGCGCACGTCCGAGAAGCCGTCGGTCTCCGGAGGGCTCGCCATGCTGCCGCAGCCACCGCCACCGAGCAGAGGGAGGCGCCGAAAAACAACTGGGTGGGGGGAGGAGGCTCCTCGCCGCGGCCCCGCACATGCAAACAGGGCTGGAAGCGGCAGAAACCCGGACCCGAAATCCACGCGGCTCCGGCGCCGGAGAAGGGCGCAGCAGCTGCGCGGAGGAGATAGCCCGAGCGGAGTTCACGGGCGTTTCACGCCCAGGGGGGAGGCAGTGCGTCCCGGGTGAGTGCAGCCGCGATCCTCCGAGAACCAAGACTCCTCTGAGCCACCGCGCCAGGGAAGGAGCAAAGATGCATCTCTCGCTGCCCCGGCTGGAGTCTAGCGCAAGGCGGCGGCAGCCAGGGGTCTCTCCGCGTTGCCCCTTTAGGCGCGCGCGCCTTCCCTCCTGAGTTCCCCTCTGGAAGTAGCGATTCCCGAGGCAAATTAAATATCCTTGGGCAGAGGGAGGCGGGCTGCCAAGTCCCAACGTTGCACAGGGTTCTCCCTCCTCCTTCTTCGCCTCCTCCTCCGCCTCCTCCCACCCCCCCAGCAGTCCCCGCCGCCACCAGCAGCCCAAATACCAGCTCAATCGCGGAGACCGCGGCGCTGCGGCTGTTGCTGCTGATGTCGCCTCCCGCGGACGAGTCCTCCGCAGTCCCCATTTGGGCCCATATTGGCGGGCGGAGAAAGTGGCTTTTCCATGCGAAATGCTACTGGGCAGCCAAGGGAGCCGGTGACGGGTCGGAGGGACAGGCTCATCCCTGCCCCACGCTCCAGTCGGCAGGGGAAGAGGGGAGGAGACAAGGGCGGGAGGCGAGGGGGAAGGTTTGGGAAGGATTCGGGGAAGACGCCTGTTCCCCGGGAGGCGCTCCCGCTGCAGTTACTTCTCCCCTCCTCCTCCTCCTCCTCGGAGAGTTGCCGAGAGCCCCAACCAAAACAAGCGGCGGCGTCTGGCTCTGCGCGCCGGCCCCCTCCGACCGCGCCGCCGTCTCACTCGGAGGAGAAAAACACGTGACAGAGCCTCAGCGTTCGGCAGCCGGGTCGCAGCCGCCGGGAGGCTCCCGCCCGGGTCTCTACATTCCGGGCCGAGCCCGCCCCGCACCCGCCCCTCTCCGCCCCCCGGCCGTGCCGCAGCGGCTCCCGAGCCCGGCCCGGAGCAGCGCTAGGACAGCGCCCCTGCGCGGCCGCTCGCCGGGACGCAGCGCCTCCCGCCTGCGCGCCACCCAGGGCGCCCCCGGCCCGCAGGAATCCCCGCGGCGGGCGCGGGCGGGGTGTTTGGGTGGCTACCCAAAAGCACGAGGGGAGTCTGGGAAAACGGGAGGGGGACGAGCTCAGAAAGACGCAGGAGTGAGGGTGGGGGGCGGTGGGGGGGCACTGCGGCGGCCGAGCCCCGAGTGGGAGGGCCGCGGGAGGAAGGGGCGCGGGAGCTGGCTGGATCTTACCTAGCAGGTAAGATCGACCCCTGGGAGGGAGGTTTCTAGTCAAGGCTTTTTCTCCCAGGAAATAAAAAAGCTGGATTTCGGTTTCTGGGTGATAGGCCACAGTGAGGAGACCTATATTTTGACAAGGAAGGGACAGCCTTCCACCTTGGAATCCGCGGATTTGCTGCCATGAGGTACTTAAACGAGCAGAGGGGCACCCAAGGGCAGCGATTGTGGGGAGTTATAGTCACTCCACAAGAAGAAAAGAGATCCCTGTAAAGCGTCTCACATCGGGCTCAGTGGGATTAGCTGGTGATCAATTGGAGAGAAAATATAAATATCAGTTTCTCCCCGTCCTCTTTTCCACATGAGAGAGGGGGCATTCACACCTGAGGGATGCGAGGAGGAGTGTGAGTTGCTCCTTATCACATTCCGAATCTGTGATTTTTAAAAGATGTTAGGAACCTACAGAAGGTTCATAAGGCCAAAACTCTACTGTGCAAATATTGGCTGAAATGTTTGTTTCACACACAGCTTCCACGCCCATTGAACCACCCTATAAATTTTTAACCTTGACCACAAGGATAATTGGGAGAAAACAAGGATGGTGCCAGCTCAACTGTACAGAAAAATGGGTACTTCATGAGTAGGTCAGGTCAGCAGCCTGGGTCTACTTGTGGTATCAGTCTCACCACAAGCAAACGCTCCCCAAAGTTTTTTGGTTTTTTTTTTTTTTTTAAAGCTGTCCTACAAACAGTTTGTCCCTGCTTGCTCAGCTGGCATTAAAGATCTACAAAGATGACGTTTGACGGTCTGTTTAATACGGTCTGATTTTTCCACTTTATTCCTGGTGGGTGTGGGGTTTCCGCCCCCTTTAGTCTACGCCGGGGACCCTCCTCAGCCACCAGCTCCGTAGCACTGCGGGATGCTGCAGGGAAACACTGCAGTCGAGTCGCTGGGCATGCTCCTTGGCCGGGACGCGCCTCGGCCTAATGCAGGATGAGGGGCGGGGCGAGTTTCCTGGGGAAGCCTGCTGATTGGTCAGAATACTTGTCTTTCAAGCCTTGCACTGCAGGAGCCGAGGGGGGAGAGGGTGAGGGTACCAAGGTAGGTTGCAAAGCGTAGTAGGAAAAAAAAAAAAAAAAAAGGAGGAGGAAAGAGAATAAGAAGCATAGGCGCCATTCAGAGGCGTGCGATACGTGAATTAGGGGATCCAGCATCTGCAGAGGGGCTACACCCCACCGAAGCCTGGGCGCTTCTCATTTCTCAACTTACCTTCTTGTGCTGTCATCATGAAGCTTCATCTAACCCGGATAATCTATAATTTGAGTACGCACTTTGAATTGAAAACCCTCTCTTCTTTTCTTCTGACAGCTTGGTGATGTGAGCACACGTGCCCACTACAACAAAGCTATAAATAGCAAATATTTGGCAATGGTAACGAGACAGCAATAACAGCGACTGAAATTCGGGCAGTATAGAGTGCTGTATAGGGGGACGGGATAGGGGGATGCGGAATAGAGAAGCCTGAAGTTAGCGGAAAAGTGTAACTCTGCCTGTTTTTACCCTAGGCCAGAAAAAAAGAAAGCTGAAAGGGTTGTTTACTGGTAACACTGTCTTCTAGATAAAGGCCAAAAGGGCTTTTTACAGGTTTGATGTTTGGCGCTGGCATGAGGGTGAGGGAGCGTTTTACATTTTGTAACAAAACGATTCAAATCCATAGATTTTTACTGCTCTAATGACCCCATCTATTACCCCCTCACCCCCTGATAAAAGCTAAAAAGAGAACTGCACCGCTATGGGAAACAAAATAATCTTTTCTGGAAAGGAGGGCTGGAAGATTATTTCATTTGCAAATATTTTACAATAATATTCACAGAAAGGTTAGGATTTTGATCATATAATAACAATTGTTATTATAAAGCCTTTGCTAAAAAATGTACTTCTCAGTGGCAAGAGATTTATGCTTTTAAACATATAGCTTTAGTTACTAAAATATTCGATAGAAATTGTGAAATAAACCAGATTGCTGTGATGCACTCTGCTCAGACTGATGGGTTTCCAAGGAAGATACCCACTGATCATAGGATGTTAATGCCATTTTTCCTGCTTCCTGATATTTCACTGCCAGTGTTCAAAGTGGTTAATAATTTTAGTTATACTATACTATACTATTGTTCTCTACTTTTTTTTTTTATTAATGGATTGAGATAACTGAAAGTGCAAATTTACATTTTGGTTCACATAATACACAGAATAGAAAGAGACGGCTTTTATGGAATCTGAATTAATACTGAGCAGGTATGAGTATTATCCTGTCACCTAATGCTAAATTAGTCTTGTGGTGTATTATAATGAAATACACTGTGTGAAAAATTTACTCCTCACCAAAAATTCACAGAACTGAAAAGCAACCTATTACCAAAATATGTTGCTCAATGCTGCCATCTAAGGGACAACTGGAGCCAATTTCTGTAGTATGATAAAGTGCATTTTTAAAGAGGGCTGAAATGATTAGCAATTTGGTATCATCAATACAGTAAGGATTAAAAGAGTCAAAATTTTAAGTACAATTGGTGCCCTTATGGGTAACATGTCTACAGTCATTTTAAAATGGAATAAGTTTTCTGTGTATGACATTGTCATAGGAGCTTTTACAATTGGACTCAGCAAAAAGACCACGTTTAAGGACCTAAGAGGCCAGGCCAAAGGTTCCCCACCACTGATTTATAATTTATTACATATGTCCCTAAAGTGGTTGAATGGGGTAAAAGTGCAACTAATAATGTGAAAATTATAAAGAATTTCTTATGTGAAATGGATGTTTTCATTAAGATGAATGAGTTATTCCTAAAGGAGCTGTTTAAATATTGACACCTCTTAGAATTAATTTAGGCACTTTAGAACAATGCTTGAAGGAAAATCAAAACTAGTGGGTTTTATCATTTTAAGTTCTATTTTTATCTTAAGATAGCTCAGTAGTAACAACTATTTGAATGTCAACTCTGCAAGACAGTCTGAAGTACATAAAAAGAGATGGTTTCTCACAGCTCAAATGGGGTCATAACAGAGACAGTACAAAATAAAGATAATTGACGACTGAAGTTCTGTATGTGTTAAGTGTCAAATAAGTGGTATTTGCTTAGAGCAGATGGACATCGTGGTAGATAAAATAACTAAATAAATCTTTACGGAGGAGAGGGTGTTAAGCTTAGTCTTGAAGGATGGTTGTAACTCAGATAAGTAATGGGCAGTTTATTTCCTATTCAAGTTTTGTAGAGCATTTCAAAGAGATCTAGGTGAGGCATTGGGTGAGGCCCTGAGGATGTAGCTATCTAAGACATGATATGCCCACAGGAACTTCACAGTGCAGGTGGAAGACAAGTGAAGGCAAACCCAGAGCACCATGGTCCCTTCTATAGAAAAGTAAGTGCTGGGAGAACTAGATAACCACGTGCAAAAGACTGAAACTCGACCCACGCCTCTTACCGCTTACAAAAATTGACTCAAGATGGATAAAAGACTTAAATCTAATACACGAAATGACAAAAATCTTAGAAGAAAGTGTGGGGGAAACTCTTGATGATGTTGGACTGGGGAAAGATTTTATAACAAAGCCTTCAGCAGCTATCACCACGATAACAAAAATTAACAAATGGGACTTAATTAAATTGAAAGGCTTCTGCACAGCTTAGGACACAACAGATAAAGCAAAAAGACAACCTTCAGAATGGGAAAAGCTATTTGTAGGGTGTGAATCTGACAGAAGGTTGAAAACTAGAATCTATAGAGAACTCAAATTAATTGACAAAAAAAGAGTATACAATCCCATCTACAGCTGGGAAAGAGGTACGAACAGAACCCTCTCTGATAGAGACAGATGAATGGCTAACAAACATTTGAAAAAATGTTCATCATCCCTGATTGTCAGAGGAATGCAAATCAAAACCATCCTAAGATATCACCTATCCCCAATGAGAATGACCCACATCACGAAAATCTCAAAGCTGCGCATTCTGGCATGGATGTGGAGAGAGAGAAAGGAATGATTTTACCTTGCTGGAGGGACTGAAAACTAATACAACCTTTTTGGAAGAAAGTATGGAGAATCCTCAAAGACCTCAAATTAGACCTCCCATTTGATCCTGCAATCCCATTACTAGGCATCTACTCAAAAGAAAAAAAAAATCCTTTTATCATAAGGACATTTGTACTAGACTCTTTATCACAGCTCAATTTACAATCGCCAAAATATGGAAACAACCTAAATGCCCACCAACCCAGGAATGGATTAACAAGCTGTGGTATATGTATACCATGGAACACTATTCAGCCATTAAAAAGATGAAGACTTTACATCTTTTCTATTACCCTGGATGGAGATGGAACACAATCTTCTTAGTAGAGCATCACAAGAATGGAGAAGCAAGAATCAAATGTACTCTATTCTAATATGAAGGCAGTAGATGTACTTAGAAGCAAGACTCGAATGTACTCTATTCTAATACATACCCTCATAAGAGAATTCAAGGTGGCGGCAGGGGAATGGGAGATCAGGGAGGAGGGGGATGATAGTTACAGTGTATGACACACCTCTTGGGGGCAGGACACAGAACTTAGGGAAAATAAATGCTCTGAGAAC